TATCGATATAAAGTCACTGCACGTGATGTATTATCTACCATTTGAAAGGTTAATGGGCTTATGAATTATTAATGAGTTTTTGAATAAAAACTCAATTTACATTAAATTTTCGAATCGAGTGGAGAAACATTTTATGAATTATACACACACACATATATATCTTAATATTTTTTAAAAAATTTTATAGCCTTTTATATATATTATTAGTCAAATGCACGATGGCGCCAGCTATGCTGAATATTTTATCGTGGTTAAGTAAAGTTATTCATTCATTCGTGTTATTTACTTTTGTGAAACTGAGCTGGCATCTCTTTAAAATGCATATAATTAGTTATTCGAAAGTTGTGGGATCTTCACGAGCTCTTACACCACAATGGTTTATCCACATGATCTGGTTAAGGCTAACAAGCGCCATGTTCAAAAATGGCGACTTAGTGTTTCGCTTCGCTACTTACTTTTCTTTTCATTAAGATCGATGCGAAGGAAGACATTTGATAAGATCTGCCGAAAACTTGAGCAAATGACAATGGATTTAATTGAGCTGAAATTGTCATTTAAGGGTATAACTTGTCAACTAGAGAGCATGTGGTTCTCGTGTGCCGCCCACGTAAGGAAGTGAGTTTAAGTGATCGAGGCATTTGCCAAAAGGTTCTCTGCGGTGCTGGCAAAACTGACAATTTTATCCTGGAATCAACTGCGAGGATCGCTTCCATATTCGTTTCTTCAACTGCAGTTCACACATATGATTTTCATACATTTACAGTCATTTATTCTTTCCGATATAATAAGACGATGCGCTGAAACTGATTGGGGCTGACACTATTCTTCAAGGTAATGTTCACAGTTGTTTTTTTCTCCCTTTCAACACCGGCTTCTGGTTGGCTATGAATCACTAGAGTATTACGTTGTAACATAAAGCTATGAAGTTAGTCCATATCCAATTACCTAGCATTATAGAGTTAATCGATATGCATTATCAAGTAAGAAAGAGCCGCTTTCTCAAGCTCGTAGGCGTACAGCGAACGCTAGGGCCGTCGGCTTAATATGTTATTGCTCTGTCGCTTCAGAAAACAAATTAAAGTACGCTGCTATGAAGTTTTGTGCAGGTGCCGCGACTTATTAAGCATTTCAAGCATCGTACCGACAAAGCTATACCACTACAACGCTCGGAATTGTCAAAAGCTCATGGAAATTAGGTACTTCACAACCTACAAAAACGTACTTGTCAGAAAAAAGAAAACGTATATTATGACAAAACGAAAAGTTAAGAGTGAAACTGAATATTCATATATATGCTAGCTTCAAAAGACGGAAGATGGTCAGCTAATTATAGACGCTGAAATTAGATATCAAATTTCCCTATCAAGGTTCTTATAGTGGCAATTTAAAATAACTACCATGGCCGTAAAATTCCTTGCTCCTCTAAAATATGTTGCTATATCCTGGACGCATGTATAAAAGATGGATTTTATGGTGGAGAGGTAGAGTGCATTAAAAAAGTTAATAGTCTATTTCAAGATTTTTTTTTATTACCTTAGGAAGAAACATGTGGGATAAATTGACTAACTGTGTTTCTTGACAAGTTTCCGGATCTCTTTGTAGTCTATCGGCGACAACAGCACACTTCTTTTGACCAGGTTAAGTCATCGAATTTAAAATTTGCTGAAAGCATGTCAAGCAATAATTGTTTTACCTTGACGCAGTGCGCCACAATCAGATCGGTGGTTTGAAATCGTATCAATGTATTCCTAGAGTTCTCTTTTTATTTACGAAATTCGGGAAGGTTTATTCACAAGCCTTTGTCCTTTTGTAGTAAGATGCACAAAGACGTATTTGCCGAGTAACAGTTGTTTTTAGCTTTTTAATTATAACTAACGTCAAACATGTAATGCTATACGCTGTCTGGTTGAAATAATTAT